CGGTTAGCTAAATAGTTTGTTTGTGATAAATTTATTTATTTCAAATGGCAGGCGTTTTGATAGCTATCATTTGCCATTTAGCTGACTTCGGGCTTCACAGAGGGAAGGTTAATCAGAGTAGCAGAAAGTCGAGGGGTGGGGAAGAGAAGAGCGATTCACAGATGTAAAAGAGACAGACACAAAGGTAGAGAAAAAGGTAAGGTGAGTACTGTGGAAGGGGTCGAATATGACAACCAGGGGGGTCGTGGTTATTCGAAGTCAGAAGTCAAATGCCGGCTAATAGACTTTTTTGCCGTATAAGTATACGTTGCCCAGGGTGCACCACGTGGAGGTAAGTCTATCGCACATCCCTGTTTGTGATAAATAAGACAATTAAAGCTTTCAATGAATCTTTGAATTTTTAAAACGAATCCTAACAAAATGACTTGAACTAGGACATTAATGCTTGGCAATTTATTTATTACAAGAAATTACACTCTTACCCGCTTAAAGAAAGCAATTGCTTAATTATAATGGGGGAACAGATGAAAAATATATATTATTATTATTATTTAAAGCATAATTCATTGTAGGATGTCGATAAGGAAATAATCGAGAAACACGGTTCGCCATCTAGTCGTGAGACTCGTGACATGCTTTCTCTACAATCTCCAGTCGAGCTACCTCTACCCCTAATTGTACCTCCTGATGGTTACGCAGCAACTAGCAGACTCATCGGAATCCCAGAGGGCTTTCTTGAAACTATTCAACCTCTAATCGAAGACGGCTGTATTAGTGTACGCAGAAATGAATCGGCCTTTGAAGCTCCGTTTAATGGAATGTGGGTAGGACATTTTAGAAACGGGGTGAGCAGAGCTACAAATCCCCTCATATAGCTCAATGAGGGTTTCTGATTAAAACGAATATATTATTTCTTGTATAGATGGATTCAAAGTTCGTACCCACGAGTAGTCGTCTTTCTTTGAAGAGCTACGGTCTGAACCCAACGGAAATTAATATTGATAAACTTGCTAGAGAAGCTGGCGTCCTACCGGCTACTGTTAGTCGCGTAATGCTTCAGAAGAACGGCCAGCCCCTTGGTATTGGAATAGTCGCAGCTAAGGTTCGTGTCCTCGAAACTACTATATATCAATTATAGTAACATTTTGATTACAAGAAAGTCCTTTCAATTTAGCCTGAAGGCAATGCTCCATATGGAATATATATCCGTCATATAGTTCCAGAGAGCGTAGCAGCACGAGACGGCCGTTTAGAATATGGCGATCAGATCCTTGCTATTGCCAACTCGTCTCTAGTTAACTGCGACCAATCGGAGACCGCTGTGGCTATTTTGGCACGTATTACGAATACCGTTCATCTTGTGGTTGCTAAGAGGGCAGCACAGGCAAGGGGTATAATCAACTTAATCAATTCTGCTCAAAGTGGACGACCCCTACCAAATCCTATGAGTCGTTCCAATGTTTCTCTCAACAGAACCACTTCACTGAATCATGTTAATATCGATGATATTGACGATGATGATGACGACGATGATGACAGTGAAGACGTTGGAGCAAAGTTTGGTTCAAGAATGTCGCTTGGAAATTCCGCCTCTCAAAACTCTGTAAGTGCCTAATTTTTTAGATTATTTTAATAAAATCAAACGTCCGCCAAAAGTTTTCTTGGACACAGGAGGAGATCGACTTTTAATTGAATCTCAAAATCTGATCAATCACCTAAGAATAAAAATAGATTATGATTTTTGAATTAACGTTAAGAAATAATAACTTTTTCCCTTGAATGTAGACGTACATAGTTACCGCTTTCAATTACGTTACAAGTTCATGTTTGGCTTCAATTCTACTTAACCAGGATGGTGCGATCGTATATAGTAATTTATTTCAGTTAAAATTCGAAAGAAATTAAATAAATTATTTCATTTTCTAGAAAAGAGTTATTGAAACACAAGCATTAGAGACAGTTTTTATCTCCAATATTCTTTTAACACACTTATCCTGTGGGCTAATGTCGTTTCCGAGTTATATTTTTCACTTTTGCCTCATCAAGAAAATTGAGAAGTATTTTTTTCTCCATCTAATCCATATTATGGACCTCCACAGCAAACGTTTTGGAGATAGGGATTTAATAAACATTTGCCATCACCGTTATACAACCATAGAAGAGTAAAAAATGTTACAATTTTTCCTAGATATTCCCTCCCAGAAGCACGGAAATTTTCTCCAACACCAGAGGAAATAACCCATCAAGGATACGTCAATTTGACGTCTCCTCCGATGAAATCACCAGCGAAGAAGGTAGCGATGAGGTTTGGCAGCAGAATGAGAAAGCGTTGAATCATAACCACAAAACTTCTAATGAAAGACCATCACCGCCCAATGAAAGCCATTCTTTCCAGCCATCGCCGGTAAATTATCACCCTAATCCACATGCAAGTTGAAGCAGTTTAGAATACCATTATCATTGCGATTACTTTCTCCAACTTCAAAGTCCAGTTCATCAACTTAAATTTTTTCAACCTACAGGCTAGTGTCCAGGGCTCGCTTGATAATTACAAGTTCCGATCGCAACAGGATCTTAGATCAGCCGGCCTTTCTGGTGCTATATCTAACGCCACTGGCGACATCATTCAAGGTTCATCAGACTGGAATGAGGTCGCTAGACACAATGCCGAAGTCATCGATGATAGGGAAAACAGACGGATTTCTCCAACTCTTTCCTCTCTCTCCTCAACAAAATCTATTATTACTCAGGAGGAAAAGAAAGGTAGTCAAATTGGTCATTGTACCCTAATCATTTCAACTTATAGGTCCATTAACTATCTCCAAGCCATTGCAAGAGGGTGTCTATACAAATGCCTCGGAAATGACTTCTGGCAGCGACGATCAACTTATGAGCGTGAAGCAGCAAATTTCGTCTGGAAACCGGGTCAACACTGCTGAGAAGAATACTTCCCCATTGAACATGTCACCTGCTAAAAGTGTTACTGATAAGGCAATGCAGACAATTATAGAGTAATGCTCAAATTATTTGACAATTGACTTGATTCTGTAGAACTACAAACGTGATCGATGAAACGGAGACTAAGAAGAGTTCTTCCCAAGTTTCTCTCCAGGCATCAGCGGTTCAAACTGAACCTATTCAAAGTTTTCAAATATCCGAACAAATTTCGACATATACGCCTCCACTGAATAGGTTACCAATGATAAGGCACCCTGACACCAGTCAAACTTCGTCTACCCCAAATCCACCCGTAACAGGAAGAGTTCAAGTTGAAGACGTTACAAAAGCTGTTGTCAATCCATATGTTGGAAGGTATGATTACCAATATTTCATCCCTTCTCTGATATACAAAGAGAATCTGAAATTTTATAGGGTACATGATCAGTTAATCATTTTTCTCTTTCAATTTTTACTTAGTATGTAGATGAAAAATCGGAATATATTTTTCTATACGGCGCTTGCCAAGATTAGTTATTGATTATTTATCGACGGCCATTGAGCTCTCTTTGCCTTGTTTCAGGAAAGATTGAGCATGAAGTAGTATGCAATTGGTTATTTTTTTAAAACACAGTTAACTTTTTCTAACGATATTTGGGATATACGAGACTTGAACCCTAAGACTAATACCATGATATTATTCAAGTTTGGCTTATGTTTCTTATTAACAAAGCCTTTAGTGCCATTTCAAAGAGATTGTATTAGAGGGTCGGCTTCGTTTATAAGTAGTTCAAATTGTACTTCGAGTTACAAGCATAAACAATTGAAAATTTTGCAGTCTCTGTTATTGCTGCTGTTGTTAACAGCTCAAAAATTCACTTTAGGATAAGAGGCTATTTAATAAAATGGTTTTATTTGAATACATATTTAAAGATTTCAACAACAACAACGTCAGCTGTCATCAAGAAGCCTTCCAAAAGTTGAATTACTAACCACATCGTCCTCTTATTCGGATTTACGAACGCCCTACTCGACAGCTTCAGTAAATACAGATGCACGAGCTGAGCCCAGCACCATTCAATCGGGAGTAACCTATTGGTCCTCTCAGACAGATTTGGCTTATACAGAAATATCACCTCCTCCAGAACCGACAGCTGATTTTCCCCAATACCACCCACCAGAAAGACTCGAACCATCCGAACTCGCCATTAAGTTTGGTGATGTGGGGACCCCAAAAAGGTATCAGAAGGAACGCTCACCCACATCCCCTTCAGCTTCATTGAGTGTGTTTGGACCTCCTGCAAGCCGGTATATGCCAGAGAGAAATAGTAGTCGAGATACTTCCCCACTTAGAATAGATCTTATTCAAAAATCAAGAGAGGTAAATTTATGCTCTGAGTGAATTTATTTTCCTTAAGTGAAAGAAATCTAATAAGTCTTCCTTGATCCTAGTTGACAACGTCGAATCAAATGCTTCGGTCAAGTAGCCTGAACCGTTTTGGACAACAGGAGCCAGTTGATAACCAATCAAGGCAGTTGCAAGAGTTGTCGGGAGAAATTCGTCGATTGGAGGATGCCGTTGCAGCAAATCCGAACGTGGATTTGGTGCGTGACTTGGATAGACTGCGAGTGGAATATCGATTCCAACTTCAATTGAATGATAGAGGTCGAACAAGATCGCTTACTGCGCCGTATATGCGATCTCCGGATGTTGTAAGTTCCAGGGTGAGTCTGATATCTTTTTATCCTTAAATTAGTTGCATAAAAAAACGAAAATTAGTTAGCCTAATAAATAATAAGTATAATTTTGTTAAAGGTTACGTTGAAGGATAACACAGATATAATCAAGCTCACTCCCATATTATCCATTGAAATTTCAGCAAACATCTTCAAATATTGCTCCTTCAAATGCTACGATAAACAGACCGATGGTACCGAATATTTCATCGATTAATGGATCAAAATCTAAGTCGTAAGTAATGAATATTTATCAAATTTTAGATTTCCATTTCTCTCGTCCCTTAAAAAGCATGTTCAGGTTTTTGTTTCGCAACAGGAATTTTCAAAAGTCAGCCCCGTGACATGTTAGAAAAAAACTATGGAAAATGAATACTGCCTATTCCTATCATTTGAATATTATATGAAGCCTTATACAGTTAGGATTTTAGGCCAACCAATATTTTGAAATTAACTCAAAAATATCACATTAAAGCTAAACTTAAAGGAAAGGCTCCTAACATGAACCTAAATGGGATAAAATGGGTTGGATTTGTACGAATAGATACTGTGAACAACTGAGTGATTCAGCCTGAAGCCGATCAGCCAATATCGGGAACTTTATTATGTAAAGTGATGTGAAAATCGAACAAAATGTAGGAAGTGTGGTCTAAGAAAGCACTTGTTAAAACCCGTATTTTATAACGGGTAATATAAAATAAGTAAAAGGCATAAAAATCTATAAGAATGTGACAAGTAGAAAGATGTGCCAAAAAGCATCAAAGGTTACGGATAAGAGGACTTATTCCTCATATCAAAGCTAATCACAACTACCTACTCGTGTTATTCAGTAGGAGCTTCAATGTGTTCCGTGGTTTATGGCCAAGTTCAAGTATAGATGAAATTGGAGAATGCAGAGAGTTAATTAGGTCAAAAACTTGAAAAAGAGTCAAGTAAGCTGTAAAACTACTCGGAAGTGCTAATTAAAAGGTATTTTTAACATTAAATAAAGTCGAATTCGTAAATCGCGATTCATTTGTAAATCATTTTTTGTATCACATATTTTCACTTCAGTATGGATGACTATGCAAATGAAAGATTGGAGGCCATTCGAATGCAGGAACAAAGATCTCGTTTATACGAGGAAAGCTTCAATTCCAAACCTGTAAGTTCACTTCGTATTATGTAAATTAGGAACAATTAACTGGATAGTGCTAGTCCATCGTGAACATCGTCACCTCTTCTAGTTTTGGTATTCAATAGTGTGGCAGATAAATTAAGAGATGATATGCCATCCAATATCGCTGCTAATCTACACATGTGCACTAGCGTATTCTATTCACTCTTCTTCTGAAAACTATTTCTTCATTATAAGAAGGTGAAAAATGAATGAGAAGGTGAATGAGTGCCACAACATAGTAATTACCGCGGGGGTCAGAGTTATCACGTCTTGGGTATATTACATTTTAGTATATTGAGACAACAGCGGTTATTTGAGCAAAAGACCGAGAAATGTATAGTGACTTGCAAGGGAAAATTTTGCCTGGGTCCCCAAGAAAGTTTATTATGGGGTCAGATTGGTAATAAATGGTAACAAAGCATATTAGCATACTTTATTGCTCCATTATCAGAAGTTCTAAAGTTCAAGCTTAAGAATTTAATGCCTACGCCTGACGTGCCACCATCTGGAAAAAAAGTTGACTGAGAGTAAGAAATAGACCATATCATCTCTGTCAAATTAGCCCTTGCGTTGGCCAAAGGATGGCTTGTAGATGTTGAAAAAAAGGTTCAATTAATCTTGAGTTCTCTCAAGCTGAACCAACTATCCTTACAGAACCAAAGGCAGTACATCTATTGTGCGATAAAACGTCATTTTCAATCAATTAAATCCTTTTATTAGATTAAAAAATACTTGTAATAAAAACTAATCTTGAGAAATTAAGTGATTAATTGTATTTCATATTAGGATTCCGATTACAAGTCCAATAAGCGCATTTTTACCTCGCCTCCACTTTCATCTGTTCCGCCGATGCAGCCAAAATACACCTATCAGGTTGAATCAGGTAAGAAAAGAGTTCAGTTCATAAAAAATTTAAAAAGCGAGTTATGTAAGCTTGAAAGTTAATATTCATCAGTGGTGACTTCTTAATAATGTAGATTTATAGTATTATAGTTAAGGGCAACAAAATCAACCTCATGCAGTTACCGTCTTAAAATTTCGTCTATAGAAATAAAGCAATTAGATATCGGTAATGACGTACTATTGGGTGGGCAACTAAGTCATTGCCGTTTTTGTCGACGGATTAACTCTATACTTTCTTTTGTTTTGTTAACGTGGGCAGAGCATCTAACCTATATTTTTTTCTTACTGTATGGGCTTCTAGGTTAATTAGTAAGAAATTTTTTTGTTTAGTTCTTTAGTTTTGATTTTATCCCAATTTAAAAATGAAAGAATAGGACGTGCACTTCCGACACATTTTATTGTATTACTTCCGAAAAGGCAAGAACGTATCGCAAGCACAAAAGAAGTTATGTGCCGTATATGGAGATGAAGCCTTAAAAGAAAGGCAGTGTCGAAATTGGTTTGAAAGATTTCGTTCCGGTGATTTTTCACTGAAAAATTCACAACGATCTGGCCGCCCAGTCGAAGTGGATGAAACCCATATCAATGCCATTATCGATTCAAATCGTCACAGCACAACACGAGATATTGCAGAGAAGCTCAATGTGTCGCATACATGCATTGAAAAAAAAAATGAAAAACCCTTGGTTATGTCAAGAAACTTGATTTATGGATCCCTCACCAGTTAAAGGAAATTCATTTGACGCAATGGATTAACATCTGTGATTCGCTACTGAAACGCAATGAGAATGAGAATGATCCATTTCTGAAGANTATAACAATGTTACTCGCAAGAGATCATGGGTGAAGCAAGATCAACCAGCCCAAACAGTATCAAAAGCAGAGATTCACCAAAAAAGATTATGCTGTCAGTCTGGTGGGATCACAAAGGAATTTTGTATTTTGAACTCATGCCGCAGAACCAAACGATAAATTCAAATGTGTATGTTGAAGAACTCGAAAAACTGAAGGATGCAATTGAAGATAAGCGGCCGGCATTATCAAATCGGAAGGGTGTTGTTTTCCATCATGGTAACGCAAGGCCCCACACATCTTTGGTTACTCGGCAAAAATTATTGGAACTGGGTTGGGATGTTTTGTCACACCCACCATATAGCCCTGACCTTGCGCCTTCGGATTACCATTTGTTTCGTTCCATGCAAAACTCTTTAAATGGTAAAATGTTTAACAACGCGGATGATGTCGGATCACACCTAATTCAGTTTTTTAATAGCAAAGACCAGACATTTTACGAACGGGGAATTTTTACTCTGCCAGAACGATGGAAAAAGGTCATCGACAAGAACGGCCAATATCTAATTGAATAAAGTTATATTTTTAAACAAAAATTCCGAATTTGCCTTCTTATTTGAAATCGACAATGACTTAGTTGCCAACCTAATAGTATTAAGTAGATGACATATTCTTTTAAATGGTATATTTATTTTAAGTAATCGCTCAGAGTTTCTAACTCATTTGAGTCAAACTGTCTCGCCACGAGAATTTTGGCGCGTTCAACTTAGCTTAATGGGTTGAACTGGAGCACATATGCAACTGATGTGCGATAAGTGTCAGGAGGTCTGCGTCTGCAGGATAGTTAGATTGAAAGGAATTCTAGTGGTCTTGTATGCATTTCGGCCGGCAATGAGCTATGACAGCTCTAGAAAACCCCGTGCACTTTATTTGGCGTTTCGATCACCAACCGAAGCAATAACGGAATTAGAATTAACCAATAGCAAATAAATAATTAGGAATTAGGTATTGACCTACATTGGCACAACTAACGAATAGCTCTTACACTAAATTTTTCAGTGTTTCTTCCACTCAAGTAGGCAGACTTCTCAGGTATCAATTGGACTTGAGCTAGTTTGTGAAATTTAAATGATTGCAATTATTCACCCCTTAAAAGGAATATCCTGTACGAAGTGCTTATTAGCTTCCCAACCGATTAACATCTGATAAATACTTGGGTGCATTCACTATACTACAAGAAAGTTTATACTCAAGTTAAATAGCTAGAATAATTAACCATTCTTGAACTACTCTACTGCTCAATTTTCAGGGCCCTTGTATGATGAAATTACTTCAATTACTGCTCCACCAATTACACCGCGCTTTACTCAAACAATCCGCCAACCTTCACCTTCCACTGCTAATTCATTCTCCGAGCATCGGGAACCCTCATTTTCTAGAGGAGCTGAGTTAAGGGCTAGTAGGAAATCAGTCACTTTCGACACTAATTTGGAATCCGTGACTCTCTACTCCCCACATTCAACTCCACCAGACAAGTCAACCGGAAAAACCGATCAAACAAGACGACCTGTGGCTCGTGCTGAAAATCAACCCATCACACGTATTAACCAACAGCCGACTAGTAATATATCCAATTTTAAAAGAATGCATTAATAATCCATCTTCTTCTCTTGTAGATGCGAAACGAGATTTTGGCTTCAAACCGGTGAGCTAAGAGATAAAATTGTGCTCTCTAATGTTAACAATTTCATTTTCACAAAAAATATTGTGTGATAATTTAGAGTGTAACACAGCCCGAAAACGCAGAGAATCTGTCATTTAAGGATAAAATGGCCTTTTTCGCAAAAGCGATTGGAGACGACATGCCGAAAGATCGTTTCAAGGCATCGCAAAAGGAGCGTCAGATAATGAATAGTCTTGCACGCTGATGCCAACTATGCTTTTTTCCGTCTACTAAAATGTATCTGCCTGTATAAAATGAAACCTTCTTCCATTATTTGCCTCTTACTATACTTCCAATGTTTTCTTCCTTTTTCATTTTCTGATTTTCAATTATCAATCAATCTTCTTTTAAGTGATTTATGACTTGTGATTCAAATAAATAATATGGTATACCTATGAAGTTTATAATTCCTTCAGTGACCTTATTATGAGCAATAAATTTGACTTATTTAATGTTCAGCGTGCCCTCCGGAGAAGGACAAAGTCGGTTGATGCTAAATCTCGCTATATTGCCATATATGTCATCATAACCAGAAACAATGTTTGCTACATTGAGTTCAGCCATTAGGTGCATATAAGCTTATGTGAACAGCAACGATGGTTCTAAATGTTGACGAACTATGCAAATAAAACGGAATTACTTAATTTCGATCAAGTTATTCTATGCAAAATTCTGCATCCAATAATGGGTGAATTGAATAGAGGTAAACAATATGAGCCAATTTACTGACTAGAAACTTGGATAAATTTAAAGCAAATGAGATTGTATGGAGAAAACAATTACGAATCTTTCTTGAGTCTCAATAAATATGCTCCCATTTCCTACAATTCAAAACAGTGTGAAGGTAGACTAGTCATCAGAATTTATTGAGATGGACTGGAAACAACTGGGGGGGGATGTGGAAGATGGAAAGATGGACTGAAATATTAGGTTGGCAACTAAGTCATTGTCGATTTCAAATAAGAAGGCAAATTCGGAATTTTTGTTTAAAAATATAACTTTATTCAATTAGATATTGGCCGTTCTTGTCGATGACCTTTTTCCATCGTTCTGGCAGAGTAAAAATTCCCCGTTCGTAAAATGTCTGGTCTTTGCTATTAAAAAACTGAATTAGGTGTGATCCGACATCATCCGCGTTGTTAAACATTTTACCATTTAAAGAGTTTTGCATGGAACGAAACAAATGGTAATCCGAAGGCGCAAGGTCAGGGCTATATGGTGGGTGTGACAAAACATCCCAACCCAGTTCCAATAATTTTTGCCGAGTAACCAAAGATGTGTGGGGCCTTGCGTTACCATGATGGAAAACAACACCCTTCCGATTTGATAATGCCGGCCGCTTATCTTCAATTGCATCCTTCAGTTTTTCGAGTTCTTCAACATACACATTTGAATTTATCGTTTGGTTCTGCGGCATGAGTTCAAAATACAAAATTCCTTTGTGATCCCACCAGACTGACAGCATAATCTTTTTTGGTGAATCTCTGCTTTTGATACTGTTTGGGCTGGTTGATCTTGCTTCACCCATGATCTCTTGCGAGTAACATTGTTANTCTTCAGAAATGGATCATTCTCATTCTCATTGCGTTTCAGTAGCGAATCACAGATGTTAATCCATTGCGTCAAATGAATTTCCTTTAACTGGTGAGGGATCCATAAATCAAGTTTCTTGACATAACTAAGGGTTTTTCATTTTTTTTTCAATGCATGTATGCGACACATTGAGCTTCTCTGCAATATCTCGTGTTGTGCTGTGACGATTTGAATCGATAATGGCATTGATATGGGTTTCATCCACTTCGACTGGGCGGCCAGATCGTTGTGAATTTTTCAGTGAAAAATCACCGGAACGAAATCTTTCAAACCAATTTCGACACTGCCTTTCTTTTAAGGCTTCATCTCCATATACGGCACATAACTTCTTTTGTGCTTGCGATACGTTCTTGCCTTTTCGGAAGTAATACAATAAAATGTGTCGGAAGTGCACGTCCTATTCTTTCATTTTTAAATTGGGATAAAATCAAAACTAAAGAACTAAACAAAAAAATTTCTTACTAATTAACCTAGAAGCCCATACAGTAAGAAAAAAATATAGGTTAGATGCTCTGCCCACGTTAACAAAACAAAAGAAAGTATAGAGTTAATCCGTCGACAAAAACGGCAATGACTTAGTTGCCCACCCAATATGTCCTTACACGTGGACTTGATTGCATGCATCAACAGAATAATGGGAATTAAACGAAGTGACTCAAAGTGTGCATGGCGTCTGCAATAGACAAATGAATGTGAAGGGAGAACTCCTTTATGCATACGTGATTAGAGACCTTGCGTAGGCGTTTACATCATGCCATTTCAAAGTACCTCTGCAGCGTACCTTGAAAATTTTAACAACAAGACCTCAAAGTAAGGTCAGTACGAGGTTGATGTTATTGACGATGTATGCTTTATGGAACGTACGCATTAAAAAAAAATTTTAAATACAATGAGATACAAACCTTATTAATTTTTGTTTGGCCTTGGCACAGTTATGGAAGTTCATGAGTGATACCAGCTTCGACTTGATACTGAACTGTGCGTCCTCAAACCATTATGACGTAAATAAATCTTAGACCGTAAAGTGAAGAAAAGTGTTTTTTTCGAAACACACGAATTCAGATTTTCCTATCTCATCTAACCCACAGACGATGGAATCACCCATAGCAACACGTTCTACATTTTACTTAAACTTGTTTTACGCCAAAGAAAGGTTAATTATAAATTTCGAGAGAATGAGTGTTTAACAAAGTTTTAAGCACAAATTTTTATCATTGAAGACTATGGCTCAATGAGTGAACCAGCAAACGGCATTAGAAAATTGACGCACTATTAATATAAAATAAATTATTAACAGAGGTTAACACTGGTTATGACATGATAGTAATGATGGCCTATATTTTGCACACTGAACATCTAACAGCGCAAATTCAGAAATTGAATGGATCGGAAAAACTAACCAGAATATGTAGTTTTATTCAAGGAATTAGTACTTAATTTCTGTGATCATTCAGGAGTAAAATTGGACAGTGTTAGTGAAAGAGTGGGAAAATAATTAGTAAATATCAGATAAATGGGATCATGAGTGAACCAACGGATAGAGAGAAGGCGTGGGACCTAATGAAACGTGTTTTTAGCGAACTTTGATGCAGAACATAATGGGGACCATTCTACTGATAGTGTGCTTAAGTGAGTGGAGCCAGAAGCATTATTTTATATGGCTAAACTATACAATTGAGTGATAGACAAAGTACAAATAGCCCCACATACTTTTTAACAATCGATGAATTTAGACAATCATTTGATTGGAACCATCAAAATCATATTTAACATGTGATTCGGATTCATTCATTTCTTTACAACGAAACCATCTCACCACCAGCTTTTCACCACATACTTTTCCACGCCTATATATAGACGTAACAAGAAAAATGCATCGTATGTTTGACAAATTTTGTCACATTTTCCTGGTTTCTTAAAATACACCTAGTGACTTTTAATTAAGAAAGTGCAGAATTCAACAGACTGGTACGATAAATAGTGCTTATGGCAAGCGAGAAGCATAAGTTCACAACATCACTCATTGAACTCTTTGAACCTTAAGTCATGCTTTGGGCAATGAATTTATGGCCACATGAACTAATAAATAGGGCATATATTTGAAAGTACTCAACCTATTTCAACTACATCCATATCCCAATTACAATAATCACTCAGCGAAGTAGTATTAGAGAAAAAACTATTGAGCATTTTCTTTAAGACTCTTTGCAAACTGTAAGCTGATGACGTTTATGTGAGAAAACGTAAACTTTTCAAGCTCTTGAAGAAAAATGGAATTGATTTTTCTGGACCAATTAGCCCCGAAGACAGTGATCAGGCTATCCTGGTGCAAATCATGGGTTTTGGTTTCGAAACACGAAGGGCCCTACCGGTTAGTAACGCATTTCTCGAGTACAAAAATGAACTAAAAAAGGACCCCTTGAAATTTTGATGTAACGGTCATTTTTTTTATGTTTTTTCTCCAATTTGGCATTTTTCAATCGCTGTCAGTGGCCATCCATAATTTAAAATTCAAATTTTTGTGTTTCTCTGCTCACTGACTATATAAAAATATTATTGAAATTGTTCTAGCAATATTAACCTATTTTAGTAGCAAAATGTGAGAAGATATTACGACTAAAAAGAAAATGAGAAAAAATTCACATTTAGCTATGAATCTTTTCTTTGGTACGACCATAAATATTTTTCCACTTTGTCGAATTTGTAATTATTTATTTTCATGACAAATAGCAATACTCCATTCTGTGATTAAATGCATACTTTTAGAAATCAGAAATTCTCCCAGTCAAGTAGAAACTTTGATTAAGTTGGATGAGTTTAATTGTTGTGGACTTTAAATTTAGGAAATTTTGCCTTGTTTGGATAAAGAGTAACATTGAATGGATTGTGACATCCACAAACTCACGTGCTATAAAACAACTGGCTATGTATATCAAATAACTATAACGAAAATCATTTTCTTATAAAAAAGCCAAAATGCAGATATTTACGTATCATTAATTATATTTGGTACATAAGACATGGATAGAGGTGTATCCGCATTCTCAGAGGAGGCCCAGCAAAGCCTCAACAATCCCTATGGCAAAGACTCAGAAATTAGCAGACTGAAAATAGATGGCATGAAGTGAAAGCGTTTACTGTATATGTTTAACTATCCACAAGCTTAGCTATTAAAACCCTAAAATGTTGTTTTATGTGGGATAAAAATAGTTGTGAAATGACTGAGGAATTTATGCCCCTCCCCCCCCCCCAACTCCAGAATGATCGACAGCGAATGAGGTGGCGCTGAGTACTCTACAGCCTTTTCCTCATAGGCAAAAATTTTAATACAGTTGCGGCAAAAGTTCACAAAGGTGGAATACTTTAAATTTTATGAATGATTTTATTTGCTCTTGCAGTTAGTCCCTTCCTAGAAGTTCCTTTAAGTCGAAAAATTCCACTGAATATGTTTTCTTACGAGCACAAAATGCCTATTATGGGAGGCGTTGGCAGCAATTGGCTTGGACGAAGGATAAATTTAATGACATCATGCTTTAAATGGATGATGATGATGACCATAGATCTCAAGACATCTGACTCATTGTTAGCCTACATTGACATCCACACCATCTA